TCGAATGGAACTGTTAGCAAGCAATTTTTCTACCTCTTCACGGACGGCCTCGTTGATTGCAACATTGAACTTTTTTTTGATTTGTCGTATCGATGGGTAGAGTGGATCGACATTCAACTTGTGTATTGCAATGTCTTTCGGGATACCTGGCATATCTACATGTGAGAAAGCAAACAGATCGGCATTGTCAGTTAAAAATTTATAGAATTTACTTGGTTTATTGAGTTTGTGGCTGATGCAGGCTTTTTTGTTATGCTCTCTTTTGTACAACTGGACGTGATCGAGGTCTTCCACTATTGACCTTGTGTCTTCCATGATGTCAGGGTCTTTGACGATGTCTATTTGTTCGTTGGACTCGGTCCCCGACTTCGGTAATTGCTATGCTCTTGAGCCCTCCCCTCTTAACTGTTGAGTGTATGTGCAATCTTGGGCGATGCGATAGCATTCTTAAGCTGTGCATTGTTCACCCTGGATGCTGAATATTCCACACGGAGTAGGGAACTTGATGATCTGATAATACTGGACAGGATGGCCCTCATGGCATGTATCCAAGGTCGCCCTAAAATGGCATTGTAGGATGTGTCTTGGTTCATGACATGGAATGTTGTTTCCAGGGTGACGCCCCCGGCTAGAACGTGCAATGTTATCTCTCCGGAGGTTCATTCAACTGCATTCTTCAAACCTGTTAGTGTTATGCAGTATGGTACTATCTTATCCTTGAGTCTCATTTGTGTGAGAACTCTAGGGTGGATAATACACGCATCGTTCCTGTCCTCTACCATGATTCCTTTTACATTGGTATCTGAAATTTGTAAAGTAATGACAATAACATCGAAATAAGGAAAAGTCAAACCATGGGTATCTGACTTATCGAATATGATACTGTCTTCGAGGTCATCATACCGTTCATGGGTGATCGACCGCTTCAATTTGTGTGTGGTGATTAACTTCACATGGTTGATTGTTGCTTTGTCGCCTCTGCCGATGATCATTTGGATGGTGCGGGAGAGGGAGGGTCGCTTTGGGGGCCTTGATGTTGTTCTCGTCCAAAGTCAAGGCTCTCCCTCAGTCGCTCATAAGCTCCTTTAAATGTCCTTGGTGGAGCATGTTTACTACTTCTTGTCGTAGGGCTATGCAATCCTCGGTCGATTGGCCCCGTTCCTGATGGAACTCGCAGAAGGCATTCAACTTTCTGGAATTTGGGTCTGACTTCATCTTTTGTGGCCATTTTACCTTGGGACCGAGCTTCTCTAGGGCGTAAACTATTTCGGAAGGAGACACAAAAAAATTATGAGTAGATAAAAGTGGAGGCATACCTCTTTCGTTTCGGTGAGTCCCCGTCTATGGCCTGGACGCCCCTTCGGCTTGGCGGGGAGGTAGTGGGATGGCCGCTCTGATGTACGGTTGATGCCTTTCCCGATTGAGTCGTAGTCTTGCGTAATCTCTTCAGCTTTCATTCCGACGATCTTTCCTTGATTCCATTTGGACTGACGTTAACCGTTGAGTTGGACCATTGAGGTCGTCTTCGTCTGCTCTCACCTCAGCAAAGTAAGCATTGTGAATTTCTTCCCAGGTGGTTGGAAGGTATTTCATGAGTCTGCTTAATAATTTTTGGTCGCCCTCAACGTGTTCCTTTTTAACCCGTTTTGAAAGGTCGCTACCGCCATCCCCTATGACATATTTGTCAGGCTCATTCTTACTATGTTGAACTGGGCAAGGAAGTCCCTAAGTCCTTCGCCAGACGATTATTTGATGGCGAATATGTCATTCACTCTGGCTTCTGCTTTCTTGGCCCCAGCATGGACGGTGACGAACTTGTCGGCCATTTCTTCGAAAGTCATTGTAGAACATGCTGGTATTTGTGAGTACCATATTAAGGCTCCCCATATTAGGATTTCGCCGAACTTCTTCAGCAGCACATGACGTAATGAATGATATGGTCTTCAGGGTCCATTGTGTCGTTCTATATTTTCAAATACGGTGGCATTTTGAAGGTTTTGGGTATGACATGTGGGGTTGCCTCCTCGCTGTACGGCTGTTCCACAAACCGACCGACGTTCCGTTTTGGCAGAAGTTTCGGGGCACCTGGTATCTTATCAACCCTTTTTTGGTGCTCCCTCATTTGGTCGTGGAGTGCTTTATTATCATTCTCTATTTCTTCCATTTTCCTCAGAATAGCTGCGAGGGCGTCGTTATTTACGTCAACAATGGTGTGAGTGTTACCTGTTGGCACAAGTTATGCATGAATTAGTATGTAGTCAACCAAAGGTTCCGTTAGTCACTTAGTTATGCATTTATGGAAAACTTATATATTAAAATAATTTCATATTTAACCAAAAAATTTTAGGCTTTTTTTGTTAAACCAATTTAATAAGTAGATAAAAGGTAAATCCTAGTTAAATATAATAAATCCTAGATCTGAAGTTCGATAATCTTGATGGTATGAACCGTGTGCAAGTCAATGAATGCCAAGTTAATGCTAAATGATTATCAATAAATATGAGAATGAAAACATGCAATAAATGTGACAAATGTCACTAAATGTAATAAAAAGGAATTTGTCACCCAAATATTGAATGAGTTGGATGATTCCTTCTTCTGACTATAGCGTGTGACAATAGACTATGGGAATGGACAAAGTGTTCTTGGATCTTGTGAATAAAAGAGGAATGTTTAGCAATGGAATCAAACAGAGGATACAAGACAAGCTTTTTGTATGTTCTTGATAGTCAACCTTTTACAAGATGTTCCTCTCAGAAAAGTCCAGAAGCCCCTTTTTGTTCCCCCTCTCTTCCTATTTATAAGAGATATTCCTAGAAAATCCTAAAAAAGTACAATTGGGAGAATATTCAATGGAATATTCCTATTCATAATCCTAAGAATATTCTAAGCGTTGTTGTTGTTTGTTCTCTACTTGACCTTGGCACTGGTCCCTCTCTCTGGGCGACTCCTCGCCACTGGCCCAAGCTTGGCTTCAACCTCGGCCTCAGCTCATCCATTTATATTCACTAAACTCGACCTAATTTTAACCCATACAATATAATCCCTCTCACACCAAAGTCCAAACGATCAAACAACTCCAAATATTTATTTTTTAAACTTCAACTACAAATAATATATTTTTGTAACTTCAACTACATATAGTATTTTTTCGTCTAACTTCAATCACATATTGTCCAAACATAGGTGATCAAGAACTTCAACCAAATATTGTCCTAAAATACTCTAAAGGGGTTGTTTGGTTGGGAAAGAAGTTATTTCATGAATAATTATTTTCGGATTAGTTATTTAGGGATTAGTTATCCCACTTCTTATGGGATAAAAAATATTACAATTTAGAGATAACTAATTTCAGGATTAGTAATACCATGATTTTATCTCAATCAAATGTAAAGTAAACTTAATTTAATATTTAATTTAGAAATTAATTATCACTTATCTCTCGTAGCAAAGGAGCCCTAAGAAAAGCTATAGTAAATAACAGTGTTTACCGGATAATTGAAGCTACTTGTTTAACCGGAGTACTAAGACGTAGCGTTTGGCCATTATTCTAGTGAAGAAGAGTACTAGTAGTAGTACAGTAGATATCACAAAATTCTTCTGAAATGGTGTTGGTCTGAATGGTACACTGCCCATTTACGTTAAGGCTGTAAAAACTGATAAATGTCAGAAACCTCTGACCACTCACTTTAATCACTTTTACTACTATGATGTTCACATTTACAGACAAATGTAGGGAAATGGCCATATGGCAGCAGCTGCCACAACCTGCATGACAGTAATGAGTGACTTCCCCTGCCCTGACCTATGTTCTTTTGTTTTCTTCATGGGTTGAGTGCCGTGTTGTTGTTCAATTATACTCCTACCTGTTTTTTTTTTTTTTTTTCCTTTTTTTTTTTTTTTGTCCTTTTTGTTATCTTTAAAAACATTACTACTCCTATTCTTTTGGTTCTAACTTATTAGCAAAAAAAGTTCAAATATTTAATTCACTAATAAATTCTTGAAGTACTTTAAATTTTAAAATAGTTTTTTAATAGGTAGTATCATTTAACATTACCATTATTGCTTTAACATTTTTCAACTACTATTAATTAATATAATGTATGAGTCAATATGTCTTGTTGCTTTAAAATTTTTTAACTACTACTAATATAATGTACTGTGTCAATATGTATGTCTTATAGAGTATTACATGGTCAACTAAACACCATAAAAAATGAGAGAGTAGTTCTTAAATCACATGATACTCTTTGTATTTTGGAGTTTCCAAGTTCATGATACTCCCTTCTATTTACTAAATTTTTCATAACTTTCAAAATTTTAAATGCTATTTTTTTTATCAATCTAATTCTCGAATTACTATTTAATATCTTAGGGGTCGTTTGGTTGAAATACGATTATTTATATTGGTATAAGTTATATTGAGATGAGTTATGCTGGGATTGTTATTTATTCGTTGTTTGGTATGTTGTATTAAGAATGACAATTGCATAATTTCTAAAAAGAAGGTATAAATTATATCGATGCTAATTACCCCACATTCTATAAGGTATAAGTTATCCCAGTGTTAAAATTAACACCGGGATAACTTATACCTGGTTTGCTAACCAAACAGAGTATTAAGGTGACATTAAATTTTTATACCACCCTTATACCTCATACCAAACGACCCCTTATAGTAGTATATTTATAGGAGTATATAATTAAGTAATAGTAGTAATACGAGAAGTTTTATTGTGTGTCTCACACAACTTACATTAGTTGTGTAAGACTACTTTTGTCTTACAAATTTGTGGACCCCAATCTTATATTTTTGGATCCACATAAATTTGGGTTCACAAAAGTATGAAACAAAAACGATGACTCATACTACTAGTTGTTAGTTGTAAGAAACACAAAATAAAATTTTGAGCATTAGTACTATATGCATGTGGTATAAAATGAGATGAAAGAAGGGACATCTCTTTATTGTTTGTTGTTTTCTATCCTACAGTGCTCATCAGTTTTGGCTTTGATGCCTCTGGCAAGTGTCAGCACTCTCAGCTGTATTCTCATAAACTGAGACACTCTCCAATTTCTGGCTAAGTAAATTTTTACTACTCGGTTTAGTTGCAGCAGTTTGCTTTTCTCCCATGTAAAAAAGTCAAGAAATGCAGCCTCATCTCTCTTCTGCCACACCCCTTTCTCACTCTGGTATCTCTCTCTCTCTCTCTCTGTATCTCTATATCTCTATCTCTGTTACTACATGTTTATATTTGTTTTATCTGCGAAAGATTGAATTTTGCTTTGTGGGGTTTGTGATACTGATTAAATTATACTTACTTTGATGAAGGAAAAGATGAAAGAGAGAAGAATGAAGGGTCACCACCTTGCATAAAGTTGTCTTTAGGCTATGTGGTTGAGGAAGAAGAAAAAGGTGTCAATGCCATTGCCAAGTCTGTGTTCACAACAGTCCAGTTTCATGAACTACAGCTCCAAGCTGTGATTTTTAAGTACATAGTCTCTGGTCTTCCAGTTCCTTTTCATCTCTTTTTCACCATTTGGAATACTGTTTCCAGCTCCTTGGGCTCTGCTGTAATCAACAAACTTTACCCTACCTGTAATGTTCCTCTTCTTTGGCTCTTTTTCTGCCCTTTTAATTTTGTTATTGTTAATTATATCAAGAACAATTGCATGGTTATTTGTACTTCTTCTCTTAAAGATAATTTCTTTTCCATATTATATTCTACTAATTGAAGGAACCAAATTGGTGCTATCTATTCAAGAATGTGCCTTTTCTGGATGAACTAGTGAAATATTAATGGATGATTCTCCTTTGTTTTAGTAGCTAGGTCTAATAGTAATGGGGGAACTGTCTTGTTTATTTCTAGCTACTTGAATTATTTTTCTTTTTTTTGAACAACAGAGTGGAAAGGCATAAAGATAAGAATGTTTGAGATCCCAAATTGAACCGACTTTAGCTTATCGAGAATGATTTTCTTGCTTTCTGAAACTTGGTAATACATTGTATGAAGTTCATTTGCTGGAAAAAATTTGGTTTTGTCTTGGATATTTTTATTGAGTTTCGGCTCTTCGCCTGTTATATTAGCAGCCCC